CTGTGCCTCGGGCGGTGGGTCGGGAAGACGACGGTCATTTCTGCACGGCTTCCGCCTCCGCTACAGTTCCTTGGCATTTAACTCTTCGCTCTGAACTTTCTCACTTCCGTTCCCTTGTGTTTAGTTAGTCTTTGCTTTTTTTAAAAACTAAAACGGAGGGTGGTCGTGGCCCAGGCTTTGAAAATAGTCACCCAGATCTGAGTTTGAGTGCGATTCTAGCGCTTAGTTTATTAACCTCCCTAAGCCTCGGGTTCTCGCCCCGAAGAGGTGAGAAATACCTGGTGCACAGGGCCTGGTGCGTGATAGCTGACAAAAATTGGTGCCTATTAATTAACATTTTTTAAATCATCACAGTCATTATCAGCCATACCTGTGCTGTTAGCATCGCAGAGGATCAATAATAACCAAACATAAATCACTCAAAGCCTAAGTGGCATAATCCTTTCTGGGGTAATTTGGCAAATTGCGCCAAGAGCCCTAAAAGGGGGCCTATTTCTGTACTAGAATGTTCACTTCCGAGAATTTATTCCAAGGAAAAACAGACGTAAACCGGATGCTCATTGCAGAATTATTTCAAAAAGTGGAAAGTGGAAACAACTTAAATGCCTAATAAGAGTAAATGGCTAACTCAATTAGACTTTATCAATGGTGTGAACATTATTACCATGTTATTCCTATACTCAAGAAGAATCAAATACTAAAGAAGAATATTAACAAATTAGTACTGGATGCCTACTGTGTGTCAAGTATTATTCCATATTTGCATTGTCCATTGCAGCCACTTGCCATACGTGGCTGTTGAGAGCTTGAGATGTAGTCTGAACTGAGGTGGGCTGGAAGGGTAAATTACACAGTGGCTATTGCAGAATTCATTTGAAAAAATGAATGTGAGATACCTCATTTTAAAATAGTAACAACATGTTAGGGAAGGACTGTTTTGGTTAAGTAAAATATAAGATTAAAATTAATTTCATCTTTATCTTTTTACTTTATTAATGTGGCTGCTAGAACATTCAGCATTCTATATGGGGCATGCAATATAATTATATATGTCTATTGGACGGCAGTATTCCATTTACTGGATATATGGTGGTAAACAAGATAGTTTTTGACCTCCTAAAATGAGCACCACTGAGTAGAGTGCAGACAGTAAATAACATCATTGTACACCATGGTAAGCTCTTTGCAGAAAATATAGCAGGGTAAGGGCCAGAAAGTGTGTTTATATTGAGGGTGGTTATTTTAGACAAGATTCGTCATCCAGAAAGTGGATGTGGGAGGAACTGAGATATTTGTGGATAGAAGGGTGGGGGGATGGCAGGGGTGTCTTCTAGGAGAAGTCAGGGATGGATTGAGGCTGATAAATCAATTGGGTCCTGGTGGAGTCTTTGCCAGAGGGAAGAAGCCACATCAGGGGAGGAAGGGAAGAGAGAAGAGGGGTAAGATACCAGGGAGAAAGAGCTTAGGGGGCCCCTGGTAAAAGCAGAACAAAGCAGGCCTGGAGTGGATGTGTTTCAGGTCGAGTAGTTAGTGGAGTACTGTGACTTATATACAATAGTACTATGAGTGTATGTATATATTCTCTCTCTCTGGGTGTAAGGTGTTCAGAGTCGAAAGGGAGACCCACCAGGCCACGGGCTCAAATTCCACCTACCTTGTAGGTCCAGACTCCCCGGTTTGATGCCTTGGCACACATGGTCCAAGATGGTGCTTCACTGCACTTCTAGCGGGTGGGAAGGGAGAAAGGTGAAGCCAGGGCATGCCACTTCCGTCTAAAGTATGGTTTCTCCACCTTGGCATAATTCACATTTGAGGCTGGATAATTCTGTGTTCTGGGAGCTCTCTTGCGTGTTGTAGGATATTTAGCAGCATCCCTGGCTTCTACGCACTAGATACCAGTAGCATCATCCCCCAGTTTTGACAGCCAAAAATGTCCCCAGACATTGCCAAATGTCCCCTGGGGGCAAAATGACCCCCCCCCCCCACCCCGGCGGTTGACATCACGTCCGCACCACAGCAGTTGAGAACCACTGCTTTAACTACTAAGTTTCCTACAACACTTCTGCTCAAATCCCGCTGATGGCCAGAACTTCATCACTCAGCCATCCTAAGGGTAAAGGAATCTTGGCACTGTCTGCTGGCCAGGTACCCCGCTAAAAGCGAGCTCAAGAAGGCGAGAAGCTAGCTGATTCTCCCACACCCTGGTTGCTACAGGGAATGGAATTCCATAGCTGATTGAGGAGGTGGCCCTGTTGTTTTCATCTTCCAGGCAGAGTTTTCATCATCATTCATTGTAATTCACCTGCATGAAAATACTGATGGTGAGGAAAACCAAGCACTTAAAAAGTAACAATTGTTACTCCAGAGAGCGGACCATGGAGAGAAACTGGATTCTGAAATGGAGGCTGGAGGTTGGATTTTGGACTTGTGTTTTGGCGCCATCTGGTGGAAATACAGAAATCCTACCGTTCCTCACCCTCTTGTCTGGTATTTTCTTTCATTAGTCTCAGCCCTAAACCTCAAATTATAAATAACCCTTAACTGGATTTTAGCAAAGTTTTAAAGGGTCCTTTAAGAGGAGGGACGCTTTAAAGCAGGGTTTCTCACCCTTGGCATGACTGACTTTCTGAGGTCCTTTGTACTGTAGGATTTTTAGCAGCATCCTTGACCTCTATTCACTGGAGGCCAGTAGCACCATTTGTGACAACTAAACATTGCCAGATCTTCCTTGGGGCGGGGACAAATTCGCCCCCGAGTTGGGAACCATTCCTTGAAAGAGAGTATCTAAATTCCACCATCTATGAAGCCATATGCCATGGCAGTCTCATGTCAGTGGATCCTGGGAGTGGGACCGGCATGCCTGGGAGGGATGGGAAGACAGTGCTGGGAGAAAACTCCAGCTCTAGCTGAAGCATGACACGTTCTGTTGCGGACACTCTGGACAGCTCTGCTTCTGCTTGTCCCAAGAGCTAGAGATGAGGTTGACTGAGAGATGCCAAGAGGCCTGGTGAGAGGGTGTAGCCTTTCTTTAAACCCCATGGCGATGAAATCTACAGACGCCAATGCCTAAAGCCGGAAGTAGCTCAGAATCATCCCAGAGTGTGACACTCAGCCCCAGAGTCCCCCTTAGGGACGCGCAGGTGTGGATGGTCCCGCCAGGTTTGGGAAGCCATAGCTAATCTTGTGGGGCTCTGTGGATCCCCCGGGCACCCTCTGTCACCTGAGTACTGTGGAGAAACTGGTTGGGAGCCAGTTCCGTTGCCTGGAAACAGTCCCGAGTCTTTTCCTGGAAGCTGGGAAAAGGAAAGGTCAATTTCCCAGGAGCATCCCCTAGCACACCCGACTTTCGGCCCCTCTGAGGTCTCTCCTCCAATTTCCTTTTGATTTCGCCTCCTTCGAAAGCCCCTGTCCCACCACCCACACTCTCCCTTTCAGTGGAGGACAAAATGAAGATGCCCAGGTGCGGATTCCATCACTTCAAAATATATTGCCATCTGAACTCCGCATTCACTGACCTCTTGTTTTAGAGAAAGAAGTATCTTGGCTTCCGCCTGAGCTGGTCCATTCTTTTATTCCCTGGATCCAGGCCCGCGTCCTCACAGGCACCTCGCTCCCTCAGTTATGCACCTCTCTCTTATATCAGCATCCCTCTCTTCCCTTCCCCGTCAGCAGCAACCTCACTCAGGCTCCTTGATCTTAACAATAGTTTTGCTTGATTTTTCATCTCTCGCTCCGTCCTGTTCTTTCTGCTTCTCTTTTTGGTCCTGCTTCTGTAATAAGTGGGCGACTTTGATTCTCTTGCCTTTTTTCCACTCAGCTCACTTCCATTTCTCTTCTGGCGCGTCCGTTAACAGGACAACTGTCTGACCCAGGCTCCCTGCAGACTTTTTCCTATTTACTCTCCACTCTCATTTGGCCTCTCTGCAGTGTTTCATACTATTGATCATGCCTCTTTCTTTGCAATTACCACATTTTCCCTCCCCAAACTGCAAAAGTAACCTGGGATCAATGCACAAAACACAAGAAGGAAACAAACACAAGAACAAAAATACAAGGCTAGAAAAACACATGTGCTTAAGCATGAAGGAAAACAACAAGAGACACTCCCACTACTTAAAAGTAACCACTTTTTGGGGGGGATTTATTCTTAGATCTTTTTATTTTTATGTTTTTAAATTGAAGTGTAGTTGATTTACAATGGTGTGCCGATCTCTGCTGCACAGCAAAGTGACTGTTATACACATATACACATTCTTTTTAAAATATTCTCTTCCATTATTGTTTATCACAGGATATTGAATATAGTTCCCTGTGCTCTACAGTAGGACCTTGTTGTTTATCCATCCTATATATAATAGTTTACATCTGCTAACCCCAAACTCTCAGTCCTTCCCTCCCCCACCCCCGTCCCCCTTGGCAACCACGAGTCTGTTCTCTAGGTCTGTGAGTCTGTTTCACAGATAAGTTCATTTGTGTCATATTTTAGATTCCACATATAAGTGAGATCATATGGTATAAAAATAACCACGCTTTATATTGAGTGTATGTCCTCCCACTTTTGTTCTAGACTAATCCATCTAAGCATGTGCATGCTACACTTGTTTTAGAGAAAGAAGTATCTTGGCTTCCGCCTGAGCTGGTCCATTCTTTTATTCCCTGGATCCAGGCCCGCGTCCTCACAGGCACCTCGCTCCCTCAGTTATGCACCTCTCTCTTATATCAGCATCCCTCTCTTCCCTTCCCCGTCAGCAGCAACCTCACTCAGGCTCCTTGATCTTAACAATAGTTTTGCTTGATTTTTCATCTCTCGCTCCGTCCTGTTCTTTCTGCTTCTCTTTTTGGTCCTGCTTCTGTAATAAGTGGGCGACTTTGATTCTCTTGCCTTTTTTCCACTCAGCTCACTTCCATTTCTCTTCTGGCGCGTCCGTTAACAGGACAACTGTCTGACCCAGGCTCCCTGCAGACTTTTTCCTATTTACTCTCCACTCTCATTTGGCCTCTCTGCAGTGTTTCATACTATTGATCATGCCTCTTTCTTTGCAATTACCACATTTTCCCTCCCCAAACTGCAAAAGTAACCTGGGATCAATGCACAAAACACAAGAAGGAAACAAACACAAGAACAAAAATACAAGGCTAGAAAAACACATGTGCTTAAGCATGAAGGAAAACAACAAGAGACACTCCCACTACTTAAAAGTAACCACTTTTTGGGGGGGATTTATTCTTAGATCTTTTTATTTTTATGTTTTTAAATTGAAGTGTAGTTGATTTACAATGGTGTGCCGATCTCTGCTGCACAGCAAAGTGACTGTTATACACATATACACATTCTTTTTAAAATATTCTCTTCCATTATTGTTTATCACAGGATATTGAATATAGTTCCCTGTGCTCTACAGTAGGACCTTGTTGTTTATCCATCCTATATATAATAGTTTACATCTGCTAACCCCAAACTCTCAGTCCTTCCCTCCCCCACCCCCGTCCCCCTTGGCAACCACGAGTCTGTTCTCTAGGTCTGTGAGTCTGTTTCACAGATAAGTTCATTTGTGTCATATTTTAGATTCCACATATAAGTGAGATCATATGGTATAAAAATAACCACGCTTTATATTGAGTGTATGTCCTCCCACTTTTGTTCTAGACTAATCCATCTAAGCATGTGCATGCTACACT